TATTACTTATTAAATCGTCATAAATGATTGGTATATCGCGATGTATCCTCGTTTGTTTAATTCATTCACATTTAATGTCTTATCGTCTTTAAATATTTTTTAAAATCACAAATCTTCTCCTTCTTCAATCGTATTGATTAATGGACGATTTGATGTTTCTTCTAAAAACAATACGGAAACGCCACCGACAATACCAAAAACGCCTAAAAGTGTCATCGGTAGTCTAAAATCAATGGATGCCTAAAATTTTTCAAAAAAAAAATAATAATAATAATAATTTGATTGAGAATTTGAATAATTTATGCAACGGTTTTTTTTTTTTTTTGTTTTAACGTATTTGTTATGAAAGACTAACCAAATTCCATAAGTAAGGAACTAAAACCAATGCTAATCCAGCTGCTACATTTGATGATCCTACACCTAAATTACGAATCACGGTAGGAAATAATTCGGCGGTATAAACCGGTGCGATTGCATTACTTGACGCTATTGAAAATTTTCCAAACATTGCTAATGTTATTGTAACCGTTTCCCTATCTTCCCCTGCAAAAAAAAAAAAAAAATTATTCGAAACGACCTCTTTAATATCATACTTGTCGTTGTAGGAATACAAAATACAAAACTTACCGAAAAATAACGTCATGAGACAAGCAATACCACCTCCTAAGAATGTTAAACACAATGGCCACCTTCGTCCCATTTTTAATAAAATAATAATACTCAATGCTATTGATGGAATTTCAACGAGTCCTATTTTATAATATAAAAATTAATTTCTTTTTTCCTAAATTTTTTTTCTGTTTTTTTCAAATGTCATACTCACCTGATAAAATGGTATTAATGTATATATCACCACCTATGTGACTTAAATTCATTATGAGTCCAAAATAGACAAAATATACAGAAAACCAAATAACGTAAAGCAATAATGATTTTTTCCTTATGTTAGGATATCTAAACAAATCCAAAATTCCAACATTTTGATTTTTTTTCGTTTTGTCTTCTCCTGATGTCGTCTGAAAATGGGAAAAAAAATTTTAGTGTTGATTTATGGGATTGCTTCATGAGTATAAATTTTAAGAGGTTAATTATATATCCCCCCCCACCTGTTGAAGAAGTTTATCGATATTTTGTGTTAAATCCAATTTATTCATTTTGGCAGCTTCTTTTAATATTTCAACGTTTTCGTCGATTTTTTTCATTGTTAAAAGCCATCTGGGAGATTCTGGAAGAACCCTAAAATTGTTTATTTTACGGGATAACTCTGATTACGGTTCATTCATTCAAGATAATTCCATATTTTAGCAAGTTGTAACACTAACCACCAAAGTCCAAGTAATAAAATCCCTGGTAATGATATAGCCAATTGAATTTCTCTCCATCCATGAATGAAATAAGCAATGCCAGCAAATATTATATAACTAAGAGGAACTGGAAAAAGATAAGAAACTCCTGATATGGTTCTCCATTTACCACCCACTAATTCCATACCTAATGTAAATAAAAATGTTTATTAGACATTTTTTTTTTTAAATAACGAATCATACATGTTTTGATGAACGATTGCATCTTCTCAAAAATTATTATGAAAATGTATTGTAATTTACTCTTACATAAAACAAATCCAGAGAAAACAACACTGACGGAAATAAAACCCAAAAGAAATCGAAGTACTAGAAAAAATTCAATCCAGGGTATGAAAGCCATCAAAACGCCAACGATTATTTGCAAAAGCAAAGATGACATTAAAGTTTTTTTCCTTCCAAATCTTCAACAAAAACAAAAAAAAACCGTTTTTTTTTTCAGTCGAAACAAACTAAATATAAAATTATAGTTAGTTATTTTTCCGTTAGGTTTCGCTACCTGTCAGATATTATACCAGAAACCAGTCCGCCGATGGCAACGCCCGCCAAAAATACCATTTCCGCCGTTTCTTTGAGCGTTTTCCTTTCGCAAACCAAATTCCACTAAAGAAAAAAAAATAAAAAAAAAAATATTTGTTAATAATTTATTTGTTGTTGTGTGTTTACAAATAGGTAGAATTTAAAAAAGTGTTGAAGTGAAAAATAAAAGTGAAAAATAAATTAAATCATCGAATACCTGGCTGACCAATGATACGGAATTTTGTATTTCATTATATATCCATTTCTCACAATGTCGAACGCCGACATTTTGATGTTGGAAATTGGAATTTATTAATTCATCGTAAGTAAAATTTAAATAATTTACATCCCATATTAAACATGGATTATAATCGTATTTTGAATGCTACAATTACAAAACGTAATAACAATTATTAGATTATGACCGTACGATGATTAAATAATATAATTTACCTTTTGTAATTATCTTTATTAAGCCCCGCCATTTTTTTTTTTTTACATTTGATGTAACATTTGTAATAATGCTGCAATGGGATTTTATCTCAAATAGTAGTGAGTTAAGAGTTACAATCTAACATTTTCTTACCATATTGTCTACAACAGCCTTGTGTTACAAACAAACAACATGTTTAATTGTAATTAATATGTAATAATTTAAATGTAATTTATTGTGTACATTTATTACTGTGCAAAATATATACAAATACTCATGTCAATCAAATATATAAAAAATTACAGGACTTAATTGAGAGAAGGTAACTGGTTAAGGTTGAGAAAAGTAACTGTTAAGCCTACATTTTACAAATTACAATTAAATTCTTTTCAAATTATGATTTATGATTATGATATGGCTTTTAATTGTAAAGATCATGTTGTAAGTCATAAGAGTCTGAAAAATATTATTATTATTAATATTAAAGTTAATAAAAAAGATGGATTCTTACTGACGTGATTAAGGGATGGCGTGTGACTGATATTTCTCCATTCATCCAAGGATAACCATTGTAATTCTTTGGGGGGTGCACACCAAAATTCCACATCAGGTGCTTGAAATGTCATTGCATATATGTGCCAAGTGCAAGGGAGATTAAAGAGAGCCAAAAAAAATGTTAGGTGCAATTGCCATTTTCCAAAATCTCCTATTATTTTTGATATAACATCTTGATTGTCATAATTTTGTTGTTTTGTTGTTTCCTCAATGGAAACAACATCCCTTCCAATGTTTGTCGACATTCTGCAATAAAAAAAAAGGAAAAAAATTTTAATTAGTGTAGTAATAATAATAATGATAAAAAAAAAAAAAGGAATTATTAATTTAATCCCATGACCTTTGATGAATTTTTTTTAACCACGTTT